TAAAATTAAAATACACGCTCCTCCGTTTCAATTTATATGACTTAATTTGACTTGACACAAAGTTTTTGTTAAAAAAGAAATATTTATAAAATTTCTAGTTTAAAAAAAATTATAAATATTATGTGGCCGTAAATTATTTCACTAAGAATAAGTCAATATTAGGTAATAAGTGCGAAAGTAAGTGATATAATATTTTAAGTATTAAGTGGATATCAAACTAAAACACAAAATTACTCTTTTTTCTTCGTCATATGATAATAATCAATACACTTTTTAACAACTTCATAAAGTTCCATTTAATACAAAGATACAAATACTTCATGCAAAAAGCTTTTGCATGTACACAATCAATATTTTTTCCCCTCAATTCTTAATAATACAACAACATATAAGAAATGCTTGCTTATCTATGCTACGCTATGTTTGGATAAGAAGACATCTTTGCGATATCACAAAGACCTGAAGGATCCCCAGAATCTCTTATAATTTTCATATACCCATTCTCACCCCAACTTGTTCCCCATGAATTCTTCAACAACCAATATTTCTGACCTTCCTCATCAGTTCCATATCCTATCGCTGTTACAGCATGGTTAATTCGATCGGCACAGTTTCCGTCATAAGTTCCTCCCGCGTAAAACTGTAAATCTTGGCTAGCAGCTATTCCAATGGACACTGGCTGTTTAGTTACGGCTTGTAATAGTGATGTTTCACCTTCAGGCACGACTTGATAACTACTTATTTGCACTGCTGCTGTTTTCTCTTGGCTTCTGCATGTGTACTGTTGACCTAGGTATTCATAATCTGATTCCCTTGAAATTCCACCATTTTCTATGATAAAATCGAATGCATTCGTCATAAAACCTCCGTTGCAGCCATAATTGTTGGTGGTGCAATCGAGAAGTTCCTGTTCAGAGAATTCCATCAAGTTGCCTGTTGCAATTTTGTAGGCTCCTTCTAGTGATCCAACTGCAGAAAACGCCCAGCAACATCCTAATAATACAAAAAAAATACCTAATTAATTAATATCAGTGAATAATATTTCATGAGACAGTGTTCTATCTTACCACATCGACCTTGATGTTTCACTTGAGTGACAGCCCCAGACTCTCTCCAGTCCAAGTTAGACGGCATGTAATCATCGCTAAGATCATTAATTTTTTTAAATTCCGTTGATGACATTGGAGAAGGTGAAAGATATGAATTAGGTATGTTTAATCCAGTAAATTTAGCCAAAAACTCTTGTGAAGTAATATCTGCAAATTCATTCATCCCTAACTTGTAAGACAGATTCCCTGCCTTATTGACCGACTCAATGAATTTCATGTTTTCTTTGAAAATCATGAATCGTTCTCCTTTTTCTACTTCGTCCTTGTAAACGCGTCCATGACGTGACATCCACAGCTCGTGTCTCTCAGACACGGACAGTTTTGGCTGGCTGCGACCTCTTGTTTGAGTGTTGAACATGCTAATTACAAAGAATAGTGTAATTAAAATATTCATCAAATCAACTTTCATAGCCATGGTTAGTGTAGAAGGGAAAAGAATATTGTTGTAAGAAGCTTGCATTTAATGTCTTCAGTAGCAAGGCGTTTATATAGTGGCCTAGATGAGAAATTCTATCGTATTTAATGAATAACGGTTGAAATTAACCAACTTTTAAGTCAACAACTGGACCCAAGGGTTTTGGAAAAATAGTCTTGATTGATTGGTTGTTTAGATTTATTGATGGAAATTTGATGTTCTAAGTATGTATTCTTTATTTTATTTTTCAAGATTATTATTGACTTCTGAATTGCACTGTACTAGTCTTTGCTTGTCTAGGAAGTTTCAATTAAAGTTTCTATATAGAAACTAAACTAATTAATTACTACGCAATATATATTATTGTATTAGATGTGTATACCAACAATTTGGATCTTAGAATCTTGGCATAATATAATGGTGCAGCAGTACCGCTCCTAAAAGAGGATACACATTTTACAAAATAAACCTATGTTTATATATAATTTTGTTTGGTGAAAATAAAATTTGTCTAGAATTTTGAATAATTCAATTTTTTTAAGGTATGTCTCACTCAAGTATTATTTGTCGTGTCAGTGAGAGACAGTTTCAAAATGTTAAGATCACGAGTGCAATATACGTATTCATATTTATTCCCAATTAACTTTAAATTAGCACTAGGTTGAAAATTCCACATCATATTAATGGTAAAAATGGTCCCAAAAAAAGCGACTCTTTGTCCAAATTCAAAAATTATGATTAAAAATAAAATAATACTTATCATATTATAATAATGACACATGATATGATTTAAACTTTTAAATAAAATAATCGCACACTTTGATATGAAAAAAATAGGATAGACTCGCATTCACCAAATATCATACCGTGTGGATCCAGGCATCCAGCACTCACTTTGTGTCTCACATCAAGTCAACGGAGAAGTCTTCACCACTTGCCACAAATATAATATAGTATCCATTTGTTTTTATTTATCTATTATATTACAAAAATTATTTTTAATTTGTCAAAAATGATTAGTTCAAAAGACCATCAAATTAGAAAATACGTTCTTTATTTCAAATTAATTGAATTGTTAAGGTGTTTCACATTCGTAAAGAAAAAAATATTAAGACACAAATTAGACATAACTTTTCATTTTTACCCTTATTAATTATTATCAAATTTATGATTAAAATAATTAAGTGTTAATTTATGAAAATGACTAATTCCAATGTTAATTAATGAATGACAAAATTGAAAGAACAATCTAAAAATAATCTTAAAAATTAAACAATTAAATTAATTTAAAAATAAAAAATATCTCTATAATTTAATTAATTTAAAATAAAAGAAATATTTAACAAATAAATAAAGACACAAAAAATAAAAAATAAAAAAGTTTACTTTTGTGGTGTTCGTAAATTATGCGCAAATAGAGTCACCTCAAATTCCCTCCGCCTATTAAGCCAGTGGAAAATGAGATCGTTTTTTCTCCGTCTTCCTTTTTTCTTTTCCAAACGACAAAATTTTGATTGGCGTTTAAAGGAAAAAAAAAAGAAAATAAGGTGCATTTAAACTTCCCTAATGGAATATATATAAAAATGGATGAATAAGATTGAAATAAAAATTGGTTTTAATCTGATCGCTTAAAATTTTTTTGAGCTAAAAAGGATTCAAAACGAGTTGGATCTTGATTTGCTCAATTCAAGCCGCTTAATATATATTATAATTATAATTTGAATTTCAACTGAAGGAATATTTTAAAAAGAAGTTACAAATGTATAAATAAATGTTACACCTTCAATATATGAATATACATATTTCAATGTCTCAAAATATAATTTTGGACTTGAAGGGATTGAGATCGAATTATTTTAATTTCAACCCTTAAAATTATGAATACATCTATAATGAGGTTCAATTTTAACACCCGTACTGTATTCTAATTGATTACAACTGGTGTTCATATTTAAATTTTAACAACTTTTGATCAGTAAATAGTAACGATCATATATGCATGTTGAGGAATCTTGCTCCCACTAAATGAAAGTTCAATTTCCCAGTAAATTCTCTCCATTTTCCATTTCTCCTTTCCTTATCGAATACGTATATGCATGTTGATGTTTTACTACAAATATATCACAAAATAATATCTGAGATGATCACTTAATTATGTATTCTTTTCACGGACCATCAATTGAGTGAAAGACTAGTCCAAAAAGCATCAACCAAATTTCTTACTAGACATGCTGAGGATTAGTGATAACTGGTTGAATTTTCAATCTTTAATTCTTAGGTATATTAGTAAATAGGATTAGCCAGTTCTCTTGCGTAAATTGTTCTAGTGTTCCTCAAGAATTAAATCCCTCTGCATTTAGTTGATTTTTTCTATTATTTCAAAATAATTCTAGTTAAATTGTAATACGTTTTTCTTATTAAGATTCTGCATCACGCCTTGTGGGACTAATATATAGACGTATCTTAATTTATACGATCCACACTGATGCTGATAAGTCACTACACTATTATATGGCCAATTTTTTTTTATCAAGTTAATTTAAATAATTAAAAAAAGAAAGTTGATTGCAGTAAGTTAGTCTGGAAGAGTTTTTACTTAGAGTCCGAAGCCTAAAGGGTAAAAAATGTTAACAAAAATTCTAAAACGGTATATGAAATTTCTTTTTGACCAAAAGGGCAAAATGGCTCACAAAGTAGCGATTTTGTCCATTGGAAAAAGCAAAATCGCTCCCGAGGGAGCGATTTTCAATTTTCAAATTTTTTTTTATAATCTTTTTAAGTAAGTCGCTGCTTATGCAGCGACATTACCTTAATTTTTTTATTTTCTTTTGCTTCTTTTATTTAAAAAAGTTTAAATGAAAAAAATATTTTTTTAAAATTAAATTGCTGCGATTTTTAATTATTTCTTTTTTAATTTTTAAAAATTAAATCACTAAAAAATTTTTTGATTTAAAACCGCTGCCTTGGCAGCGATTTATTTTTAAAAAAAAAATTAAAAAAAGGCTAGAGGAAGTAATAAACTACACATTGTATTTATTAATTTTTTAATAAACATGATTTTTACTTAAATAAGTACACTTATATATTTTGAAGCAAAAAAATAGTACAATTAAATCTCGAGGAGAGAAAATTGTTTACATAAAGAGTATGTTTAAAATACATGCATGCATTTAAACTTTTTTAAATAAAAGAAGCAAAAAAAAAAAATTTAAGGTAATGTCGCTGCATAAGCAGCGACTTACTTAGAAAGGTTATTAAAAAAAATTGAAAATTGAAAATCGCTCCCGAGGGATTTTGCCTTTTTGGTTAAAAAGAAATTTCATATATCGTTTTGGAATTTTTGTTAACATTTTTTACCCTTTAGGGTCCGGATCCTTTTTACTTACATAGTAAAGTCTGTTGTGCAAACAAACATAAAATCATTCGTGTAATTATAGTACTACTTTTTTGTGTGATGATCGAGTACCAGTTGTATGTTCATAGCTGAATGTTTGAAACTTTTTCAGATGAAAACTTTTGTTTAGCACTTAGAATTTACATATAACGAGTTTGTAACATATACACACCACATATGTATGGACAAGGTGAATTGCATATTTACAGTAGTGTTTAAAGACGAATCATTAGCAACTTTCTATCAAGCTTTTCAGCTATTTAATTAAGCAGTTGGATAAGAAGCTTGCATAGCAATTCCACAAATTCCTTCCTTAGCATCAATGCCTCTTTGCATTCTAATGTAACCGTTCTCGCCCCAGCTGGTTCCCCACGAGTTTTTGACTAACCAATACTTTGTCCCATCACTAGTTATTCCATATCCAACTGCTGTAACACCGTGATCTAACTCTGTTCCACATTCTCCGGTGAAAACACCACTAGAATAGAATTGGAAATCTGATCCACTAGCATCAATGGCGACTGATACAGGTTGGTTAGCAACAGCACTCAACAGAGAAGATTCACTGTTGGCTGGGACATCTTCATAACCAGTAATCTTAGCAGCGCCATTGGATTTCTTCCCAGTTTTGCAAGTGCCATCTGTTCCCTCATACGGATAGTTAGATTCAGTAGTAAGCCCGTGATTCTTGATGATGAACTTAAAAGCATCATCCATAAGACCTCCCTCACATCCCATATCTGAACTTGTGTCGCAGTCCACGAGTTCTTGCTCAGACAAGGAGATCAACTTACCAGTTTTGATCTCGTTGATCCCTTCAGTAGCAGCAACAGCAGAAAATGCCCAGCAACATCCTTCAATATTATCAGATTATTGCTAATAAGATTCTTTCTTTCATTAAAAAATTGAGGATGCTATTAACATGACGTAATTTGAATACTTACCGCATTGCCCTTGATCCTTAACTCCAGTAACAGCACCCTTCTTTCTCCAATCCATGGTAGCTGGAGCAGTCACATCTTCGTACCTGAATGATACGGTTTTTGATGACTTCTGATGAGAAGACGGTTTGTATCCGTTGTGAGTGGCTCTGAATTCCTCATTGGTCAAATCTGCAAATCCATTGATGCTCAACTTATAAGGTCTCATTCCAGACTTGTTGATTGACTCGATGTAATCAACATTGTCCTTGAATATATTGAACCTTTTTGCCTTCTCTGCATCATCTCTGTACACACGTCCAAAGCGAGCCATCCACTTCTCGTGTTTCTGGACCATCGAGGCCTCGTTCAACTCGCGAGATGTGACTTCAATAGTCCACATTGTTAAAACAGCTAGAGCTAAAAAGGCAGATTTCCAATTGATTGTCAAAGCCATTTGAACTTTTTGTTGATTCTACTGTATATATCTGTTAGAATGTCGTGGATGAAATGTTTAGAGTTACTATGGTATTTATAGTACTAACATTGTGATTATAAACTAAGGCAATTCAAATGTTATCATTTTCAATTGATAATTGAATCCCCTGGAAATCACGGCAAGTCATAAAGATGGGTAGTGAATGCAGTTTGAATCCTCATTTGATTATTTTGCAATGCACCTGTCATTTGTAAACTATCTAATAATTTTTTATTACCATAATTTTGGAACTATTGGACTCTGTTGTCCTGTTTGCAAATCACAAAAGCTTCTCTTTTGGCGGAATAAACACAAAAAAAAAAGGAGGAAAGGCATCACAGCAGTTTGTCCCTTAACGGGAACGGAAAATAGTGAACATATAATTTTCCTATAAAATAAGGCCATTGATGAAAAGAAATTTTATTATGTACAACAGCCATTACGCTTCAATTCCAAACAAACTGAGGTTGGAAAAAATTTCATTGATCTGTACGTGCCCAAATACGAAACATCAGATTTGTTTCAGCTCAATTGTGAACAATGATATTCTTTCCCAGTAAGAGCTGAATAAGATCTAAGCCAATGCCAACGTGAAACTATGGAAGCCTTACCCTCTTCCTTCGGACTTCATGGAGTTGAAATCAATGCAGAGGTCTTTGAATTGTTATCGATCTACAAGTTCTCACAAACAGCCCGTTTCTCTTCAGATCCTGCAATAGCAGCACTAAAAATATTATGAAAATCGATAGATGTATAAACAAAACAAGATTACTGGACTCCCTATTAGCGAACTTCATACCGTTGCGAAAACTACTGTGCCACAAGCTCCAAAATTTCTGATAAATTAAGGTTTAACAAATCATAGTAGAATTCAGGTTCATGCATCCGTCAACAGATTGGAAAGTGCTTGAATCAATGATTTGGGATCAAAAAGCACACCCAATTTTGGATCAGGAAAGGAATCCACCGTGACCTACAAGAACTCTAATCGTCAACTTAATTGAAGAGGACCACCAGCAAAGCAATCACATGTACCGGATCTAGCGACATTTAGGAGACCAACTTTGAGAATTTCAAATGAGCACTAGGTTTTTCAAATCAGAACGACAAATCTCATGACCAATAGAAACTGATCAAGTACATTATTGATTTACCAAGAAGCATTTCTAATAACCATGAAACAGGAACATACCACATTGAAAATTCCTTGAGAAGCCAGGCTTTCTTTATCCATAGGTATTAATCCGTTTTTCGGCACCAAAAGGGTGTTGATATATTTGTTTGGCTGAAAAGAAAAATTCCATCAGAAGAAACAAAAAATTTAATTTTCATGACATGATTCAAGGTTGTTTGTGCAAGTATGTGAAATCTACTGTTGTGTGTTACACTCAGCTAGTTGCCAAATGAACTAAAAGCAAATTAAAATTACAGTGATGAGAGCCTAATGATTTTGATCAAATTACAACATATTAGGGAATATCCATTGTTTGTCCATTAAATAATTTATACTCTCAAGAAGAACTTTACAGCCTAATATGTAGTGTGAGGGGAATCTTGCGCCACTTTTCCTCTTTGTCATATCTCTCTTTCTATTCTTCACAATTCAAAAAGCAACTGTGCCCCAAGATTTTCCATCCGCTAATACTAAACAACAGACTTTTTCAATTCTCATATTTTAAAAACCCGAATGGCATCTGGTATATTCAATTGGGATAAAGGGAGTAGCATTTTTCATCGATCTACAGAACTATAGGACTCAAAAATTAGCTTATGAGATGCAGTAGGAAAATACTTATGTATGAAGAGAGTTTAAATTCTTCATCAAGTTAATTCTCTCCACTTTCAGAAACACTTCTATTTAAGTAAAATAAAATTTTGACTGTCACCCTCATACTTTGCCAGCCTATCCAGGATGCCTGATATGAGATGTAGTAAACACGATACTATAGAAGATTGGAACCAAAACACCAACGCAAACCACATATAATAAATGCTTCAGCATTAGTACTGATCTCTTGGGGAAGGAACTCATAATTCCATGACGTTCAATGTACGGATCATGTAATCACAAAAATGGGATGGCAAATCATATGAGCTCCCGTGAAATTTAACTGAGGCATCTGTCATCAGCTATAGTTTAGTAATGAACAATTGACAAATAAGTTGGAATATTGCTGATGTGGAAGTGCTTGAGAATGAACAATTGTCAATGCTTCAGACGATCCATCCACACATTGAGACTTTTATGTGTGCTTTATTCAGTAACTTTTGGGTTAGATTCAGGAGCCTACATCACACTCGGGAACCTATTGAGTAGTCCATAATTTCTCATCACTTTCCTTAAGTTACACATCTAGGCAATGATTAGAAAAATATTCAACTAACAGGATGCATGTTCTGCACATAAGGACTGAGAGTGAAAACCCCAATTAAATGAAAATACATACCAACATACCCAGTGTAATCCCACCGTGGGCAAATGAAAATCCATAACAATCAGTCAATTTGAGAAGAAACGCATAAATGCTTAGCTACTTACAGGATTTTTAAGACAATTATGAGGATCTCCATAAGTTCGATTTAAGGCATCGGTAATGGCAGTCACAAAGCAAGAAGCACTAAGGCCACAAGTTTCTCGATCATGAGTACCATTCAACAGAAGTACCTGGGATTAAGAAGAAGAAGAATTGTTGGGGAAGGAGAAGAAGAAATTAATAACATTGACATGAGAAAAACATCAATGAGACGAGGAAATCATTGACTCAGACAACTCGATTTGTCTGAGAAAGCAGCAATACAGGAATTATTTGCATTGCCCAAATTACCTTGGGACAAGACTGTGAAGAGATGGTTTCCCCCACTCCAAGTAAAACCTTCAAATGGAGCAGCAAAACCACTGAGTACTTATTTTCGTTCTTTTCAAAAAAAAAATGAGAAGAAGAATGATAATAAAATAGTGATGAGTGATGACAATGCCATGCTTGAGAAGATGAACTCAATTAAAAGAAAACAAATTAGTTTGCCAATATTAGGTATATCTTCAACCTACTTGTTTTAGTTTGTCTCACAAGCAGGATCGACTCGACAAAATTAGATACTTGCATATGCTAAACATATCTATGAACTAATGTGAAAGAACTTAAGTTGCAGGCTACTCTACCAGAGAAGGGCAGATGGAAGTAAAGAGGGATCCCATGCCAAATACGATACAGTCAACACTTCTCAACTGTTCCAAGACAGTGGGATTCACAGTGGGGAAGACCTGTACAAAAGGCAAAGAACATCAGCAATCAGAACATCAACAATCGAGCTAAAATGGGCTTTTCATTAATCTATTTATACTATTTAAAGCATCAAATCCAACATGAAATATTGGTCAATGTTTTACCTTAGTTATTGCATTCTATGATGGATCAAAATTGTAATACAATTAATCTTTAAGAACTTCATAGTTTTATTGCATTCAATATTTGACTTTTTAAACTAATACAAAACATTTCCTTTTACAGTGATATTAGGCACGCCAGTAGTAATTATTGTTCCCAATACAAGAAGCAAATTCAAAAAGGGTAAAAGGGATTCAACAACCTTTTTCATAACCGAAAAATCCCTGAGAGTTAGTTGCACAGTTCAAAGTGTGGTGGGTAATGGGCCACCCTTCTCCACTTAAATTACAAAACGTATGCATGTGACTAGTGATAGAGTTCAAACTTGTGAAGTACGTACAATCCACACATCATGTGTTGCTCTTTAACCACTAGACCAATGCCCTGAATCCACAGCTTTAACCATCTCACAGGTGCAAGATTAGCTACTTCTATTCTATAGGAGAAAATATGCATAAAATTAACATGTTACACCTTAGAGACAATCTTGTCAACAAATTCTTTGGTTGCATAAAAGCTTTGAACAAGTAGGAAGGTGGAATGAACTTTCACAATCCAAAACTCATATGGCAGATATTCTTTGTAACATCCAAAGTTAGATGAAGGACAATCATTGGAGACAAATGATTGATAAATATGTTTCTTCTACCTTGTCTGGCAACAACATTTTGAAGTGAGGGTTTAGCTTTAATGACCTATCAGAAAGTGCTTATCTTTTTTAAAGAACATGTTATTATACAGGCATACAGAGTTCAAGTATCATATCTTTCTATTCACTGATAAGAACAACAAGCCTATTTACCTCATGCAATAAGTTGCTTCCTTCACTGGACATGTAGAATATCCGTTTTATTCTAGAAGGAAGTGCTGGGGCTGAAGAGGCATCCTGTCCAACAAGGTTCAAAAAGTGAACTGGTTAAGTTTGGCAATACCAACCTACTGCACACTAGCAAAAAAAGAAAGCAAGTACCCTTGATTAGTTGATTTATATTGAATCTCCCGACTTTCTATACTGTGGTGTCGCACAGATCAGACTATTCAACAGACGTGTAAAACTGAAATATCTAGCAAAGGTAAGGGCTATGAACATGCTTTGGACTATTTCATGACATTTACCATCACTCCACCAGTCTCTAGTACAAATATGCAGGGTACTCAGTAATCTCTCCAGTCCAAAGTGCCAATCCATCAACTTAACCCTTTGAAATCACTCGGTTAAATCAAATTTAACATCCTGAACTATTATACCAAGGCACTTTTATACAGATCGCCCAAGTGCCCATATGTACAAAGCATATCCAAAATAATCTATAACATAAGCATCTCATATACCAATCTCTTTCTTCTATAAAACAAGATGGTTGGGGAGAAAATCTAAGAAAGTGGAGTAGTATAATACCGTCATGCATTTGGTGGTGTATTTGGAAAGAAAAAAATAGCAGATGTTATGATAACAAAGCAAATTCAATAGAGAAAGTCAAATGGAACTGCTTGACTACTTCTTATTTTTGGTGAAAAGAGGAGTGGATAGAAGAAGCTGCCCAAATTTGGATTTTATAGGCTATTTGTAATCTATTAGCCTTTTTGTTTTTTGTTCTCTTGTTGGAAACCAATTTTTGGAGGTCTCCAGCATTATCTTAATGCTGATGAATACAACATTATCTTTGTCAAAAAAAAAAAAAAAATATATATATATATATATAAAACAAGATGGTATTATACAAGTTATTTTGCAGTCTCAGAGATATGAGACTTAATCATTCAAGAGTGTTAACCCAAGTAAAAAAGTCCCCTTAAAAAGCCCATGTCATACTTGAGCTTTTAAATTATCTAAAACATGCAAATGGAAAGTAAATTATTCTTATCCATGTTAGTTATTGAACCTATCAAATTAACCGAAAGTATGTCCAGATAGATTATCCAAACAAATCAAGGGTTTCTGATCTGAGAACAAAATACGATAACAAGGTATGGTAAAAATATCACATTTCAGCAGGGATCACAGCAGCTCTTTTTAGGAAGATGGTATTTATCATGACTATAGTTTATATTAGGAATATAAAATTATAACGTTTATCCTTGCAAGTAGCATCTGTTTCCAGAAAATTTTAAGGAAAAAAAAAATAAAAGAAACAAAAAGCATTACACATCAAGATTACAGACTATTTTGATACCTTGTCTATAGGTTGCATGGATCCATGGGTTGGATGAGATATTTCATTTTGTCCGCGTATGACAGTTCCATCCTACACATTGGTTACATGCAACAAAGAAAAGTTTTAATTGTAGTGCAAGCCATATCCATTAACTAAATTATTTTAACTTCCGTATCTAATCAACAAATAAAAGAGATTTTGAATGGTTTAACGAACACTATTTACCACTTTGAGCACAGGAAACAGATTTTAACTTTGAGAGTTACTGTTCAGAGCCTTGTTCTAGAAGGATCATCACCCTAAATTCCTATAGAAATTCAACTTCATCACTTCTGAGATAACTACAAGGTGCTACTCTAACAAGAACAACATACCTAGTGAAATCCCCAAAGTGGGGTCTGAGAAAGCTGCAATTCTTGCTGATGAAAACACTATTCAATTTATATTGCAAGTTACTCACTGATAACAACTTTCAAGCCATGGTTCTTAGCATTTAGCACTAGCGTTTGACCGTCATTGTTTAAGATAACTTCAAAACGCAAATTATAGAAACTTCCCAAGATTATGGATTATAAGAAGCCGTGTAATTGATCAAAAAGATCTCAAAGAAGGTGGATAGGTTCCTTAATTCCCTACTATTAGCAAGCACAAAAAGCAGGCATCCAAATGACTTTTCAGGCACTTATGACCAATTGAAAACTGATATTATGAATAGCCTGAAAAAAAGAGAATTCCTTATCAGGCAAGCATAACACAATTAGAAAATAGACTTGAATAAGAAAACATAAACAGGGTATTCCTCATTTTGGTTATATCTTTTCCTAGTTTTATGGACTTATAATTTCATCTTTGCAAAAACGTTCATTTTCCATATCTTCAGCCACGCTTGTCTAATTATATTTTTCCCTTCACCGGATAGCGTCCAATTTAAAAAAAGTTTGGAGAACTGTATGAATGCATGTGATCGACTTAATGAAGCTCAAAAGCATGCATTAATACTCATTTGCATCAGATGCTAAGAGGAACTGGATTCCTTGTGACTATTTATGTCTAGTCTATAACAAATAAGGATGACCAAAATACAACCTCAAAATATAAAGAAGGCTCTGATGATGAAGGTACCGAACAGAATAATTAAAGAGTCGAGGTATAGAAAGGAGAAATCATACCGATAACTCACATCCCAGGGTAAGCCTTTCATTTGTAGATATCACGGGAAGAACAAAACTTTCTGCTGGAATTTCTGAAACCCGTGAAAACAAAAAGATTGCTGCATCTAGAGATTGGAAGAATATGCGTGCTCCAGCGAAGAAAAAGTTCCCTATACTGCAAGTGTAATAAGGTCTTGTTACCAACTTCAGTCATTATTACAAGTATTGATAAAAATAAACCACCCAGAACAATGATTAAAGGATAATATTAAGCTATACAGACAATTAGTAAGAAACCTTCCATTGCTGAAACAGAAATGCTCATCTGAACGCCGGAGAATCTGAAACAGAAAGACAACAGCTGGTTCAATAGAAAAGCCAACAACTTCTAAAGACGACCATTCAGGAGGACAAAAAAGACCTAATTAATGAGCAATTTAAAGTATCTTTTACTTCCAGTGGAAGTTCCATCGTTATGTATGACAATTGACAACAACAACCAGTAAATAGCTTCAAAAGTTTCAACCATATTATCTGATTTCAACACCATGGAATGCTGGTACAAGTTACAACAATAGAAAGAAACATTAATTTTTGGAAAAGGTTATATATAGAATTTGAAGGAACACTAATGATTTGGCCGTTTAGTAAAAGTGCTCAAGAGGTGAATATTTACACACTCAAGCTGCAAACTAACCGCCATTGATAAGTGTTAGGTTGGTTCATTGGCCATTAAACGCCATAAGCAGAACTTTGGTTCAATTAGGATCAACCCAGTCCCCTATCATAAAATCATTAATTGGAAGGGGGCAATCTAAACTGGAGGTCAGTATAACCCTACTAATAATAAAGACATCCAGATTAGGACAGTAGTAGGTGTTATTAGGTGCAATGAAGCTATTGGGAGCCTATTCTCGATAATAAAATTATAAACAAGAATCAGAACTTTTATATGACAGAATTACAGCATGGTAGTTTGGGCTATGGGTTAAGAAACACTCTTAAAACTACTATACGGACTTGAACTCCTTGTTTTTTCCAAATTTGGCAAGTTGTGCCCTAAGATGTAACTTCCCCTCTAAACTGATGAAAAATATACAACATGTATATAAACTTATTTAATGCAGCAATAAGCATTGGATGCAAAGATTATCCATCAACAAAAGACAAAAGATGAATTAAATAGCATAATAATGATGAAGAACAAAGCCAGACACATCTAAGGAAGAAGAACAAAATTCTGCAAGATGATTTTCAAGGCAATAATGCATCTTAGAAAGCAATAAGACAACCCGAAACATTTAAAAATATAGAAGTACCTAATTGACCAACCTGATCCTGGAAGTAAGCCAAGAAAGCTCTTATAGTTTCCCTATACGGTTTTGAGACATCTTGCCAAAGTTCATGGCTGCCCTCCACAATTTCATACCTGTCATGATCAATTAACAAGTATAAGTGGGTATACAGAATTCAGTAGAACCGGTTAAAAGATGAAAAGGTTCTCAGAGGAACCACTGTTTTTCTTTTCTTCTTTTTTATTCTGTTTATTTCCTTCTTTTTCTTCTCGTCTTCCTTTCTTTTTTCCCTTTAAGATGCCATCATTTTAGTAAAACAATTCACATTTGTGTGGGCATGCTACTACTCCAAGCAGTCAAGATCTAGGTAGTTTCCTAAGCTTATATCTTCTTCCTATCAAATTTCTGAGAATTAATTCTTAATACTATGAATCTTTTATTTCTTCTAGGTCATTTATACGCAACCTTGTCTGACAGTTTGGGTTTCTTCTACATCCTTCAATTTTATAGCTATTGTTACTGTTCAGGAGTTCACAAACACAGATATCCTAATCTGCACCAAAACAGATCCAACATTTTTGTTCTTTCCTCAAGATCTATTCCTTGTCTCACCTCTTTGAAGAATCTTGTAGTTAATATTCCACCTGAGATTAGCTATCATATAATAATAATCAAGATAAGCCCAAGGAACCCATTACCATGACATAGCAATTATTCTATATAACCATCTAATCTGTGTTGATAATATTTTACCACCGAGCATGCATAAGAAGACGACTTGGAGTAAAAAAATCTACAAAGTACTTTTTGGAGAAGAATCCAAGAGCATTGTAGAGAAAATGAACAGAATTAATGGAAGGTGTTACACAAACTATCTGGTTTTAACTACCATTCTGATTTGGCTCTTCGTGCATCAAGAGGTAAACGATGACCAAGCAATATTCGGACTGCACGAGCCTCTGACGTGCTTTGGCCGGATAATCTCAAACATCTTGATCGTATATCTCCAACAGCAGGACCACCTAAATATTCACGGTCAACTTTTCTATCTTTCATTTGTGTTGACAGAAAACATGCGTAAAGAATGATGCAAAAGCTTAACAGGGGAACAAACTCATTTCCATAACTGTAGTCAGCAAGATAACCAACGGTCATACATCACTTTATTTTCTGAAGAAACTTTAATTGTTCTCTTTTTTTTTCTTGGGGAAGGCCTAAAACATTACTAGCTATAGTCGGGAAAGTGTTGTGCACTTCTCCCAACGAAGATTTTGTCACCATCCACAAATGAAATGTAAACTATCACAGACCCATATATATCGCATGTGGGGAAGTCATGTGCTATTAGTGCCTTCTTTTTTCTTCTCATAAGAGTTATTTCACAAAGACTTGCCAGGGTAAGGAAGAAGTGTGTATGACTTGACGCTCTAAAGTCTGGAGAACAAGCACAACCTGGGGAAGTCATGTCTTATTAACACTGCTAACACTGATTTTCAGATGCACCAGTTTAGTGAACACAAATAAAGAGTGCCAAAAAGGAAAGATACAGAACAGAAAGAATTGGAACTTTTAACCATACCAAGAACACGAACAATTTCGGCTGTACTTCCTCCGTCATCAGAAACAGGGAGCACATGAGCTACACGTGTAGTTAGATTCTTAAGCTCTTCAACCACACCATTAAATGCAGTTCCACCTGTAGCAGTAGTAAGTTCTCAGAAAGTAAACGTCAAGAGTCTTGATGTATAATGCAACTAGACCTTCAATATCAACCAACTTGAGGTCCACCACTATGTGAATCCTCGCTCACCATGTCGCTACACTTAAGCTCATTCCATACCAACATTACACAAAATAAAAATAGAAAGTACTATACAAGCATATAAACCTCTGACAGAACTAAAAGACTCCAGGAATAAATGTACTAACATGAAAAAAAACATATTCCCAACTAATTCATATCACTTGTATGAATCTTTTTCTTCCATTGTACCCTATTTTTGGTCAGGTCTACATGTATTCCTAGAGATTGTAGGTCTTCCAACACAATTTTCATACATGTGATTTTAGACTATGTTGCTCAAACTTCCCAAAAATATTGTCACACATGTCAGATCTTCAATAATTTAATATTTTTGGAGGATTAGACACACACTCATCGACATTTTTTATGAGTCCGAGCAACATAGAATTTAGCCCTACTTTGTCCGCTTTTAGAGCATGTGGCTTAAAAGTTGGTAAAACCCAAAGTTAAAAATAACTTTAAAAAAGTTTAAACTGACTTTTTTAAAAAAAGTTAAAAAGTAGGTACACCCCTACTTTTCATTTTTTAACTTAAAAGTTACTAAAGTTAGGGCCCGTTTGGATGGGCTTAATAAAAGTAGCTTTAAAAAAGTACTTTTGAAAGTGCTGAAACTTATTTTTAAAATAAGCAGTTATGCGTTTGGATAAAAGTGCTGAAGCTGCTATGCCAAACGTGAAAAGGGAAAAATGGAAGAAAGAGATGTTAGGGTTATGTGGGTGATTTGGAGATTGTATAAAAATATTAAGGCCAAAAAGATAAAAATGTGGTCAACTTAAAACAGCTTATAAGCTAAAAAAAAAAAGCACCCCTACCCCAACTTTTAACTTTTGACTTAAAATAAGTTTTTTTTAACTTAAAATAAGTTATTTTGAGTATTGTCAAACAGCTAAATATGTCAAAAACTAGCTTTTAAGTCAGTTTGACCAGCTTTTAAGCTGAGTCAAACAGGCTCTTAGACTTTTTAAAAAGCTACTTTTTTTCAAGTTAAGCCAAACAGGCTCTTATGTTGGTGCAGGAAATGATATTAAACCATCTCAAGGGACCTTTCAGTTTATTCTTGATGTGTCCAACTTGCACCTTCTATTGAATAAGATCATCTTTTAATCTTGTCTAATCTTTTTTTTATAAGGTATCTTGTGTAATCTTATATGATCCCACATCTACACCTAAGCATCAACTATATTTCTATGACACTCATCTTGTGGACAACGTCACTCAAGCTATCCAGAAATGTTGCCACACCTCCGTTGGATTCTTCAAAAATACACTATTTTTGAGAATCTGACACTCACCCATTGAAAATTTTGAAGAGTCCAAGCAACATAGCTTGTGAAACTTGGACTTTACTAATCAAACATTTTCTCCCATATCACATTGTTGATATTTAAATGTTTTATAGAACTTACATTTCGCTTTGGTAAATATTTATATCACATTAAGCTTCGGTAGAACTTCTCTTTTTTCAGCTATCCTATTTCTATTCTATTTGTAGCGTCTTCATCTATGACACCATTACCTTGAAAGATCAAGCCTTGAAATCTTAATTGTTTGCATTAAGGCAGCACAATCCAGTATAATCTTATCTCAACCTCACTCTTCTTATGCCAACTAGACTTCTAACGCATATGGTTAGTCTTACTTCTACTTATCCTAAAATCCTTGCTGTCTAAAGTATTTATCCATAGTTCAAACATTTGGTTGACACCTTCATTGGTTTTGTCAATTAGCACAATATTGTCAGCAAATAATATACGCCATAGTACCTCATCTTGTATTGTATTAGTTAGTTGATCTATAAGATTACAAGTACGGTGTCAATGCTGATACCTGGTTCAAACCTACCATTATGGGAAACTCCTCTGTATCTCCAACTATAATTCTTGCACTAGCCACAGCTCCTTCATACATATCTTTATGGCATTTATATATTCAATATGAATTCCTTTCTTATCCCCAACACCGACCAAATGTCCTTTCTTGGTACTTTATATACTTCCTTTATTGATATACAAACATATTCTGTCAAAAAAATAAAGCAGAAAATGAATGCTGAACTCGGAATGATCCAATTATTTAAGATGAAATTGCTTATTAACCGGACAAAATCCAATTCCTTTAAACTTCAAAATAAAATGTCAATTCTAAACACTGCCTACGTTCTCTACCCACATTTGGCACTGACAACCAAAATGTACTTGACAAATAAACTGATATTGCAAGTAACAGCATAAAGCTTCATTCCTCTGAATTAGTACCCAAAAACACTAGCATTCAAAATCACCCAATTCTCATGTCAGTAACAATAAAAATGTGAACTTTTTTTTTTGTTTTTTTTTGGGTACTTTTCAAGATTCAACAATTACATACCCCGCCAATCAATCAATTAAGCAAGTAAATCAACAATCTTGCCAACAAAAGAGGGAAAAAGCGTACCTGAGAAAACAAGAATAGAAGGTTGATGAGTAGTGGAGGAACTAGTAGAGGAGCAACTACAGTGACGAGCAGAAGAGCAATTAGAGGCCATGAAGGAGAAAGAAAGAGATCTGGGGGAACCTGAAAATGGGGAAAAAGTGAAAGGAAAGGTATATAAAGAAGAGGGCTTAAGAAGTGGAGAGGGTCCCAAATAACCGTCCGCCATACTTGTCGCTCTCTATTTATACCATACACAAACCCCAACTCTCCTTAGCTTTTACTCCCAATTCTTACACATGCACCAGATTCAAAGAGGACTCTCCTGGAAACAGACAATTCTCTTCCTCTAGTTATTTCTCTTATTTTTTGTTTCACTTGTGTCAACAAATGAATACATCTTTTTTATTTTTGAAAAATATGAATTGTATGTATTTGTATTTCATAAAATCAACAAAAAGATTGCTCTTCACTAATTAAATTAAAAGATGTCATCAATTTTTAATTATAAATAAAACATATAACCTGCAAACAAAATGAATACATTACGATATTAAAAAAATAACTCAGGGTGGATTGATATTTAAAGAGTCAAATAGCTATTGCTTGAAATTATTGAAGGGGCAAGGAGAATGTATATAATGGGATGTTGAATAGAAAGCTTGATTATTAAAGCAAATTAGTAATTGGGAAGAGAAAATGATTTATTTGGTGAATTATATAATGAGCAAGTATCACATTATAGATCGTATCAACTTAGATACATATGTTAGCTTAAAAAAATATAGAGACATGAGAATTCACATAATCACTCCAACTGAAGCGTACGTTATTATTTGTAGCTAAAAAGTATCCACATTCCTATAAGCACACCTTCACTGACTCTTCATGGGTAAGAATGAATTAGGGAATTTGGAGATACAAACATCAGCAATGAGACATTGTATCAAATGATGTTACAACTTCAGAAAAGTGGTGATGGTGGCCAAATGAACTATTTTTGGCCAAGAAGTTTAAAGCTTCATTTGCCATCAGTTACATGAGTTATATAATGTGATGTGATGACACAAAATTTACCTACAACAAAAGATGATAACCGAGACAAAAACTATTACTTGTACTCATCAATAAAAAGATATGAAGCGTTTATCGCGAGAACAATAGTCAATGAGTAAACTGAAAAAGCAGATTACTAAAAGAATGTCAAAAAATAGTTTAAGTTCCGTTTGGAGCTTAATACTAAATCTCTCTCAACTGTATCTGGAGCTTCATTTGAAGCCTATTTTCCTAGATGATTGTCGCTTGGAGCTCATCTGTTTAGATGATCTCCCAGTCTGATTCATAAAAGCCTTCTTGTGACAATTCCAACTTTTCAGTTGGAGAATATATTGTCTTGCCTTCTGCATTTGATTCCTCTAATTCCACAATGAAATCCTCACATTTGGTTGCGTCCTTATTTCTCTGTTTTCCTAGTTTTCCCTTTAGCATTGCCATATTTTTCTGAAAGCAAAACCATCACAGGTCAATAAATGACTACACACATACAAACAAAAGGAAGGAGCCGAAACAAATTAATTCGTGGGAAGACAAAAAGGCATCAAACGCAGAAATATAAAATGACTGGGAAGGCAGGAAACAAGACCTTGAGAGAGATATGAGCTCCATGGCATTCAGAGCCTAAAGAAAAATCACCCCTACCCACCAGAACACAATGTCCATCAAACTTCACTTCAGTAACCGAGTCAATAACTGGTTCATCTGCATTGTTTATCCATTAGAAACACAGATATTAAAGGCCAGTGATTTCTCAATCTTACATATTTACACTTCTCCTTTAGGCATGTGAAACAAGGAATGATAGCTTAACCAAGAAAGCACTTAAGCGCACACACTAAAGAGTCATGTCTGGTCAGCATAAATCAATTAGTATCAATTCTATATAGTGTCCTGTACAACTTTTTTTTTTTTGTTTGGTAAATAGCTCTACATGCAGAAAGTACCTAATCCGTCAAAGCAATGCTTTCTAACTAAGCCACTACTTACAGGAATATTATATTATCAGCACAAAAGCAGAAAAAAGAAAAGTAGCCAGAGCTACCAAGGAAGTATTGCCATATAAAATTGACAAGAAAATTAAAAGGTTACTAAATCAAATGGGACTTTTCTGATTGAGGGAGAAAAAGTTGTACTAAAAGGGTGAAAATTAGCATCATACAAACAAACAACAAGAAGATATACCAGTCTCAAGACTAGGGAAAACATACCAGTTGATACTGCTGGAACTGCTGCATTAGAATTCATTTCGTCAAAATCAAGAACAACACTTTCTTGTGACTCAGTAGAGTAAATTGAACAAGTTAATGATGGAACATTCGAAGTGTTAGCACCATGATCTGTGAAATATATAGTTTTCTCCTCTTGCATAGAAGGGTCAAATTCTAGGCATTCAAATGATGATGCACTTGTCGAAGATTTGGCAGGAACTTCAACTCCTTTATCACCCTCACAGGATAATGTCATTTTTAAAGTTTCCTCAGTAGAAGCAACTTGTGCTGAACTTTTACCAGTAACCCCTAGTATCTTTTCCCAATCCTCAAAAGACATCTTCATCGCCTTATCTTCTCGTGGCTGAAGTGATGAATCAACATGCACTCCTTCCGTGGCTTCCACAGCAAGCTTGAGGGAAGTCGAATTCGAAAAGGAAAGCTCAGAAGCTGGATGTTGTTCTCTATTTTGTTCTGTAGATAAATTACTGGTCTCCTCCTCGACAGCTGACAAAGATCCTGGGAGTATTTCTTGAATAACCCCTATACAAAATTGTTTCAGGTTTGCACTCGCTATCTGGAATTGGCTTTCAACAAAATTAATTTGTTCCTGTCAACACACAATGAATGAACTAAACGAACATATATCAAGGAACATCATAAACTGGCAGAAACCTAATTTAATATCCAGAACTCACAAAAAAACTAGAGGTTTGCAGATTATACATGATACAACAATTCGTAGTAGATGAAGTCTACCATCCATTATATTTGCTGGAACAGAAAGACTAATAAGAACACCAAAGAGGTGGTATTATGGATGAAATGTATTTCCGTGTATTTTGTGCATATATGTGAATGAAAGCACCAATTGCAATGTCCTCCAACATGTACCACTCTAGATATTTTATTTTGATTTGCAAAAGATAACTAAACCGAGAAAAAGTAAACCTAAAAGAAGTAACAGACTAAAAGCCAAAGAAATAAAATGGCATTTAAGATGTTCGGACGGCCAACAAAATGATACCTGAGATTTAGCATCAACCTCACAATACAGATTATCCAGCTTTTCGCCAATTTTGTTGAACCAGGCTCTGCCTCTACTTGTAAAGTCCATTACAAACACAAATACCTGAATGATTAGAGTGGTCAGTACATGAACACAGTTCCTGCTCTAAGGCAAAAGAACTGTAACCTTCAATTCAAACCAACAAGTATGGACAATTGGCTAAACGGGATGAAAAATAAGAAAACTGCTTGTATAATTGAATCATATTGAGCAACAGGCTGAGCAACTTTCTGATGAATAAAATGCATGTGGATGTATAGAGTACTTCATCCATGTCAAATTGTAATGACGTTGCACCTGCTTGGCGTGTTTACTCTCCCAAGACAGAAACCAGTTACAAGACAAACAGAAAACCAGTAATGTGCTTTAAGCATGTCGTAGCACTCGAAAAGGAATGCATCATTAAGTGCAACAAAACATACCCACTGTAATTTCACCACCGAAGTCTGGGAGGGTAACATGTTTGCGGACCTTATAGATCCTTAGCTCAAAAGAGAAGTTATGTAGATAACAATTGCAAGAAGAAGAAATGGCAACAAAATACAAAGATACAAAGAAAAATGAAGTAACAGATGGTACAATAATTAGAAGAATAAGAAATTACACTATTACCAAATATTACTACTACTACTGAGAAGAGGATATGTGGCAAACCCCTCTGCCTCTCCCACCCATTGGACAACCACACTCTGCTACCTACTAACCTTCTACTCTAATTCTCGACCTTCGTACCTTCCTATCTAGGTTTATGTACTCAGCAAGTCAAAGTTGAGTCATGTTTTGTGCCGTTGGTTCTTTTTCAGCATACCTCTACCTCTGCTAACTCCTACTACAGTCAATCTTTTACACCCTCCTAACTGGCACATCTGTCTACCTCTTCCTCACATGTACGAACTATCTCAGTTTCACTTCAATCATCTTATCCGCCACAAAGGCGGCTCTACCTTGCCCTATATAACTTCGTTTCTAATCATATCTCCCCTAGAATGCACATATATCCATTATGTCTCTCCTAGTATGCTCGTACATCCATGTGAGCTAATACAATAACAAGAATGAAAGATGAGATTCATGTGACATTCAAATCTAATTTCAAGATAAACGAATGCAGGCACGGGATACAGGAGTGTAGTTCAAACAGCTGACACCGCTATAATATATGGTGAATACCTTCGATTGATCACTACACCACGCATTCAGATACTCTTTGTTGAATGCACTTTTCTCAGAAGTACAAAATTAGTTTTCAATTTCAATAAATCACCCCGTTTTTTCTTCAACGCAATGTGCGGCATAAAATTATCCCTTTGGGAAACATCGCTGAGACTATATAAAACGTTTGAAACCCCATAATTGGACGGACAGTTAATCACAAATATGTGGGAAAAATATATAATTCTTCCGTTTGTTCAGTTCATGCAATTAATGGGAATCGTTTTCAGTGTTCTGAAAAAACAAACAGAACAAACAATATTGCAAGTTCATAATATAAAATATTAATCATTCACAATCATTGAATTAAAGTTCACAACTTACCTGGTGGAGACAAAAAAAAATTGATAGAAAAAAAAACTAGATTATAGTAAAACGACGAGCAGCCTAATTGAAGAAGGAAGTCACTTATACCGTAGAAATCTAATTGTGATAGGACTAAATGTGTTTTTGGAGGTTAAAAGCTGATCAAATTTGGTTTCAAGTATTTTTTAATTTTTTATTTAATTTATTATAAATTAACTTTAAATTTGTAATATGAATTAAAAGTTAATTAAATATGTAATATATATATATATAATAACTGATTTTAAAAATATATTAGACTTATTTCTTAAGAAAGATGTTGTCACATTATATTATAAATATATTAAAATATGTGATACATGTATTGTCTATCAATAAAATAAGTATTATATATGGATAATAATTTTTTCTTTATATAATATGAGTAAAAAAGGTATTAAAAGTGATGAAGGAAAAATAGTTGTATCTCTATGATATTTTTACATAATTCGTAGTTGTGATATACAATTTTGAATTTGACGCAACACTCAAGTGCACGCTAAAAGTATGTTAGACTAAAACTCCAATCCTAGTTAGTAATTAATCTATATTGATTTATATCAATATATTTTATATATAGAAAAACATACTTTAGAATTATTATAAATGGTGTATATCTTCATAATATTTTAAGGATATATATATCTTTATCGTTAATTTTTTGATTTCGTATTATAATACTTTGAAGACTTACAAATAAACGTGTGACATTATCTTAGAATATTAAAAGTGGCAATTTATTGTTGGGAAAATGCGGATAAACACAAAAATATATATGGTAAAAGTAATGAAATAAAATGGAAAAATAATGATACCAAGAATTTTACGTGAAAACCCTTTTAAATAAGGAAAAAATCACGGGCCAAGAGAAGCAACTGATATCACTAGGTAAGAAATTTTATACCATGTAATCACAAACACAATACTCAAAGTGACTACACACTCAAAAGAAACAAGACTCTTTTGATTTCCACCTTACTAAAATACCGCTCACACTCTATTTTTTCTTCACATACTATTTTTCTTGTATAGTCTATGAAATACCTCACTTTGCTCTCAAAATGATTTTTTCTCTCTAACTTGGTGTGTTCTACAAATGAGCAAAAATGTTCTATTTATAGAATGAGAAAATCATGCCTATGTTACTAATGACATGGGTAAATATAGCAAAGTCAAAAATTTAAATTTTACCAATTTGCCAACCATCAAATTTTTATTTTCAATTCTTATCACTGTTCCCTTTTAACAATTACTTGTAGCAATTGAATAACAAAAAATTGACCAAAAAAATGGGATGGACTCCACAAATCTCCCCCCCCCCCCCCCCCCGGTCCCATTCATTGGAAGTATCTTCATCTTGTTTAGAGAGAGCTCATACCTATAATTTTTTTGCATAACTTGAACTTGTCTTTCGGTATTGTCTTGGTCAGCATATCTGCAGGATTTTCAGTTGTGTGAATCTTTTTGACGTGAAATGATTCACTCTTCACTTCCTCACGAATCCAATGATATCTGACGTCGATTGTTTTGTTCTTGCATAATAGATGGAGTTCTTACTCGAGTCTATTGCACTCTAGTTGTCTCAATAGACAATATCCATCTGATTCAAACCAATCTCTTGAAGATATCGCTTGAGCCATATGATTTCCTTGCCGTCTTTAGTAGCAGCAATATATTCAGCTTCAGTTGTAGATAGTGCAACACACTTCTGCAACTTCGACTACCATGGTATAGCTTGCCCTGAAAAAGTAAACAAATATCTAGTAGTGTATTTTTTGTTATCAAAGTCACCTGTCATATCAGCATCTGTATAGCCTTTCAAGATTGGATTTGATGCTCTAAAATAGAAGCATTCATCTGAGCTTCCTCAAAGATACTTGAGTTTCCACTTCACAGCTTCTGAATGCTCTTTTCCTGGATTATCGAGAAATCTGCTAACAACACCAACTGCATGAGCAATATCAGGTCTAGTGCATACCATTGCATACATTAGACTTTCGACGGCGGAGGAATATGGAACTTTGGCCATGCTACCAGCAAAAGGTGTACTAATAGACTTAGCATTCTTCATATTTAAGCGCTCTAGTACACGTTCAATGCACTTCTTTCGTGACAAATAAATCTTTCTTTCATCTCTGAGACGAGTAATTCTCATGCCCAAAATTTGTTAGGCATGACCCAAGTCTTTCGTAGAAAAAGACTTGCACAATTCTTTTTTCAGCTCGTCAATCTTGAAAGTGTTCTTGCCCACAATCAACAATTTGCGACTCAAACTTGAATTAAATTGAGTTAGGTCTTTAGGGTTTACTATTTTTTATTTAGATTTTTACTGTTTAAGTTTAAGCTCTAAATATAAAAATTGAAATGAGCCAAGTAAAGTTAAAAATTAAGTAATATAATAAATATTTTAAGATTTACTTAATAAAACTTCGATTCTTCGTAGTTTCGAAACCCTTACACTAAACTCCGAATCAAAAAATTAAAATGCCGAAAAAAGAACCTACACCAAACCAAAACATCAAAAAACCGATATTTTTTTATTAGAATCAATTTTATGATTTTTTAATATTTATGTCCATCCCTATACACAATTGCACTGTAATCTATTTCTATCTTTGGAAAGCCCAAATATTACAATTGCTCTGTAATCTATTTCTATCTTTGGAAAGCCCAAATATTACGTAACACAGGAGAACAGAGGTAAGAAAAAAAACTATATAAATGAATATGAAATGATGGAAATAAATCATTGCTACACATAAGTAATGCTTGTGTTTGAGCTTAAGGAAGAAAGTCTACTTCACCACAACATATGTAAAGGGCTGGTACGAGTTCAAACGAATTCAATAGCTTCATGGCAAACCTCCGATATGTATTAAAAGCTACTTAACAAAAATACAAATAATTGATTTTGACCAAAAAAAATCAAATTAGTGATAAAATCTCAAATTGATTAAGTTCAAATCGTGTGTTCGCCTCTTCTTCCTCCTATTGGAATGAGTCATCATACTATTGTTTTATGGTTATTCTATGATGATAAATATTTTCATATGATACAAAAGAAATGAACAATTCATATAGAACATTGCACAAGTAGTGCAAGATCATGAGGTCAATTAAATTAAATGCTTAAAAATTTCCATATTCCTAGTAAGGCAAACTCTTAGAACTTGAGCTAACAACCAAGGACTTAAACCTTGAAGAATCACCACCCCCATTGGCTCTACTAGTAATTGTTTCCATATTCTTATAAAGGCTTTGTTTCACAATTTTCTTCATCAGTTTCTTGCTTTCATCAACAGCTCTTGGACTCATTGGTGATGAATCAATTGGCATTCTTCCTACTTGTGGCCCTGAATGAGGCCCCATTTTGATCTGCCTCTCATCTTTAAACCATTGTAACAATTTCAGTGCCCTTTTTTGAGCCAAAGAACTACCTAACAATGCCACTTCAAGAAGTACTGGAACAATACCAGCCTTGGACATTTTCTCTCTTTGAATTGAACTTTGGTGAGCCAAAATCATCAAAATGTATACCGATAACTCTTGACATTTCGGTTGTTCTTCCCATGTCATTATCTCCATTAAGCTCTCGGGCATCATCGGGCTTTCCTCCATCGCCTTCTTTCCCATTAGGGTAACCACAAGATTCCCTAATGTGGCTAGTGCTTTCTCTGATACTTCCTTTAATGAAGACAACCTCAATAATGTGGTCACTGTTCCATTAGTCGCCATACTGGCGGAATTTTCCAACACAGAAGATATGTTGTACAATGTTCCTAGACATGTACATTTAGTTTCAACACTTGAATTTGATGAATCAAGAATGCTGACTACAAATGGAATAATTCTTGAGGAATCCATATTGAATTGTGTGTTGGCTAATAATGATATAGACAAGATCAATTCCGCAAATTCTTGCCTTGTGTTTCCATCTAAGTTGTCTGTTTTTTTAGGTAATTTTGATAAGATTCCTGCTTCTACCATCAGAGCCTTGTTACTGAAAAAGGGAACCAAGAAAACAGAACAATGTTAAAGAAATGAATTATGAAACAACTCAAATCCATTAACATGGCCAAATCTGAAATATAGAATATAATCAAAGCTTTAGGGACCCCATTTGTATGACTTTGTTTCATTATATTTAATTTATTGGTCAACTAACAAGTTGGGAAATGATAGAAAAATGGTTAGGATTTAAAGTTGGGGTAGGGGGTATCCCAATCATGTAGGGGTCCTCAAAATAAATAATCATAGAAAATTTAAAAATTATTGAGAATGAGAAGTCAATAAGATTCTGCTTAATTAGATCAGTGCTAGGAGCTAAAGGTCAACACAAGTAGATTTTTTTTCCTATTTCTTTTTTAAAAAACACTTTGAATACATACAAATATTATATATAAGGTAGAATAATATGTCCATAACAATTAAAAAGTATTCGTCAACTTAACCCATTGTCGCTTCCACAATGAATATTGCACTAGATAGTAAACGCATTTATAACAACAACAAACACAGTGTAATCACACAAGAAAGGTAGATAACTATTTTCAATAAACCTTTTGTTCAAAGAATGATATTTTTTTTTTAAAAAAAAAAAGGCGATTCAACTCTATTCATAATTAATCCAAGTAGATATATTAGAGATGAGGTGAAAGGAACTACACGCTATGATCATAGAGTTCGATTCAACCATCTTCATAATTACCATAAGTATGTGCTCATACCACATACTCCAAGTCTTTTTCAGATAAAATAAAATGTTATGGCTAGAAAGTCAAGTTGACTCAACTAACTTATCCTTGCAATTTTAAGGCTTCCTAAATAAAATGGCTATAAATAAAACCAAGTTGATAAAATCCATTTGCTAGTTGCTTTCCTAGTCACCTATTTAAGGCATTCAAATATGAAAAGGGCTAATTTAGATTTTGTCTCGTTGTGTAAACGTTGTGTCATGTAGAAAATTAAGTTATAACCATTGAGTGAGTGAGTTCGTCTGGGATCAAAAATTTACTCGTATAATACTCAAACTTCACAAATAAAATATTAAATTGTCATCTAACATTTACAATAACTTACGATAGTTCTTCTTTTGGGGGTTGATGTAACTTAGGTGTATTAAAATTTCATGGGGGTCTATTATAGGAGGTGTACGTACTAGCCAGTCATGAACTTCTTGGGTACTTAAAAAGGATATTCCCAAGACCAAACCTCACGTGCCACACAGTAGGGGTTTAAGTCAAAAATTGGCCACGCAAAGTGGCCTGTAAGGATCCATCTTCTGATACATTCTCTTTTATGTAGTAAGTTACACATCCAATAAAAATCAGCCACGTCATTTCACCGCATTATATGTCCACTAGCCTAATGGGATGAACTTGTACTACAACGATGAAGACCCCTTTGTGTAATAAAATTCTCAACCAAAAGTTTCAGCCCACCAAATTAATTAATATTATATGATAAATGATAGTTAATTTTATTTTTATGACGGTGATGTTAGGAACCTTTTGCACGCATCTTAATCAGGTTTTATTTTGGTAATAAAAACAAATCATGATATAGAAAATATTTTCTATTCCGAAATGAATAAAGCAATTTTAAAATTCATGAATATGGGATAAAATGTAGGAGAATAAACATTGAAATTCCACTTTTAGTAATAGGCTAATTTTCAATATCTCACATTTAAATAAAATGACAAATCATTATAAATTCACGATTCTTAAAATAAAATTAATATGAATATTCATGCAACATCAAAACTAGCTCTTAAAACTTGATCCTATTGTTAGCTATAAGAAGAAAATGGAACGTAATTGATAAACAAAATAAAAATGAACTAACATAAAAGAGTAATTAAATAATTATTCAAAACTGACAAAATAGATAAAACTTACGTGAAAGAGCCATTAGCAAGTTCGGTCAGTGCCTGCACCGCTAATCTCTGCCGCCGCAACACCGCCTGATCAGAGCCACCAACAACCATGGCAACAAGCGGCGGAATCAGACCGAGCTCCGCCATGAATTTCCGCCTCTTCAAATCCTCTTTAGCCAACTCTATTATCTCTTTCACCGCCACCTCTTTTTCATCGCAGTTCCCAAAGTGAAGTTTCTTCACAGATTTTTGCAAACTCATCCATCCATTATCTTTATCACTCTCTTTTCCCATTATACCCTTTTCTTCAATCACAATAAAAATCTCTGACTCCTTAGTTGGCTGATGATCAGACGGTTCCTTAGATTTAGCCTTAATCCGAAGGAACCGCTTGAGTTTAGTGAAGAACCTTAGCTTTATGTAAGTGGAATAAAAATTACTTGTATTTGACATGTTTATGACAGAAGAATGGTTTTTGTACGGTGATGAGGAGTGGGGGTGGGGTGAAATTCGGATTTAATTAATTAAATTAATTTATGTCTTGACTTTTGGTGAAAGAAAAGGGATTAATATTGAAAAAAAGAGAGAAAAAAACAAGAAGAGCAGAGAGCACATGCCGAATATGTCAGTTACATAGAAAGAGGAGAATGGAATACGTGACCTTCTTCCATTCTTATAAACAACTGTTACATAGCCGAACATGTTTGACATAATTTCATATTGATCCTTATAGTTTCTGCTACTTGTGGGAAAAACCCCTATAGTTTCACAAAATTTTAAATAGTAACATCAAATTTTTATATTTTTTAAGAAGGGTTATCAGAATGGTAGTTGCGTTTTAACACTATTAATTTCTTTAAAAAAATACTTTTATCAATCCTAAGGTCTCAAATTAGATCAAGAAAAATAACTCAAGTGCTTCTGAATTAATGAATTTCATCTTTTAATAATTTGTTATTTAATAAGATATCACGTAGATTGATTTGTTTTATATCACAAAACAGTTATTTTGTGCTCTTATTAAGAAAAGTATTCTTCTTTCAATGTTTGCTATTAATCAAATACACATATTTTCTCCTCTTCTTTTTTAATATTTTATTCAAATCTCTGAAACAAATTTTAAAAATAATCTTTTTAACTTATCAAAAAGCTCAATCACTACTATTAAATAAGTCAGGTTAACAATACACGAAAAGTAATGTAATTCAAGTTCAAATTGAAAGGAATTATTGATGTATAGTTAATTTCGATAGAAAGCTTGAGTAAGAAAATTGTATTTGTTCATAGTGTCTAATATATAGGCCGCCCAATCTCATAGTTTAGGTACCATATTTGATTTATCACTAATTGAAGAGTCTATATGCATTTCTTTGAATGCCTCTAGTTTTTTAAGATTTTATTAAGCAACAAACTAGTGACGGATGACCTGATTATCCACAAAGTTTAGGTACTTTTTTTCTACAACGAAAGTATGATATGTCAATAAAGTTATAAGAAGAATTTGTAAACAAGTCAAATATCAAAAGGGTCAAACCAAGGCTCCTAATCTTTATGGATCATGAGAAAATTATAAGCAACCCAAATTGAAAAAAAAAATATATGTAATGCATAAAAGCCTAACAGTTTTATAATATTTGAAGTCTCTTTAATTTGGAATTTAATTAACACCCGTGGTCACATGTTAATTGCATGCTTATTCACTGATTATTACCAAGAACACCCCACAAGGGTTGTTTCACGTATCATAGAATTTTACCTCCCTTTTTAAATCTTCATTCATAATTTGCATTTTAGATCTATATTGATTTTGATGCAAATCATTAATTGTTTGACGTGGGAGTCAGGGTGCACCATGCCCCATGTTTCCCAGCCCTTGATTGGGTTAATAATTTTCGATATTAATCAAATTCAAAATTTAAAATAAAAAGCATTATTAATAAAGTTCATGCAATAATCAAAGGGTAATATCGTATGGCCAAAAAATTTGATCAGAAATTACCTAAAAGTTTATAATATTTTTTTATTTTAAAATAAATTATTTTTTTTAATTAAAAGATATTAAAATTAAAATGATAAAAATGTTCAAAAAGGTAAAATAATATAGTGTGGAATATGTAATTACATCATTCTGATCAAATTCTGATTAAATTTTCTGATCAAAATTTTTTTTCCATAAACAATGATACGTCTTCAATTAATTTTTTTCTTAAAAAATGTGCTCGATCGATAGAGATGAATTAATTTAGAACCAAGATGGTATGATTCAACTTTTATTTAACAAGTCACGAGATCATTAATTACAGGGGAACAGAAATCATCCTTAATACAGCGACAAAATTATTATAACTTCGTACATGAAATACTGTTTTACTTACTTATTTTACTAGGTGGGAGGGTTGAATATTTATTTATATGTTAAAAAGGAACTTACAAAAGGAATATGCAATTTCAAGGGGGGTCAAAATAATAGTTGTAGTGGTTTTTATGAGGCACTTGGATGTAATCAATGATTTATCAACCAATTTGAAATGACCATGACAAATTTTCTTAGTCCATAAAATTAAACCAATTTTTTTAATATAAAAAGCTAAAATAAAATTTAGAATATTGTTTAAGTACAATTTAAGTATACGTATTAATTTTAATTTTAATATTAACAAATACTTATTGATCTTCTCATGTGCACAGGGTTCATTACTACTATCATTCTTGGATGTCACAAAGGGATAGCTTACTACACAGTCCAGCTATTGCATCATTATTAATGTCATTAAATTAAATTGACTAGTATTAATTTTGTGTTTAAGAAGATCATAGATTTAAAGTTGGACAAAAAAGAGTGTAAACCGGAACACACGTGTGAGTCTTATGTAGCCTAATTAATTTAGTTTCAGACAATCAAACATAAGCCGAGTTTTATGCTGCCTTAACCAACTTAGTTCCAGCTTTTTCATTAATTATTTCTCCATAATTAATTGAAAGAATATACAAAAATACATAAAATATTTATTTCCCTAAAAAATTGAAAGTTATTGAGAAAATCTTTAAAAAATGGAGAATTGATAGTTTTGAATCGAACGAGTTACGAATTTGTTATTTTACTGTGTTACAAAAGAAATTCAATTACGTCCATTGACGTAATGAGCTTGACTTTTTTAATTGTAGAATATCACATGTTGCACCAATTCAGTTATCTTTATTCCTTATTGATATCTAACTTAAAAGTATAGTAACAAATGTTTTCTTACACGCGCTGAATAAATAATTTAAGGGAAATGAAAATGCTTAACCTCTGTATATTGTTTGATTCTTTTAGTTGTAAACTTGTAATTGAAAATTGTCTAGTACGGAAGGGGTGTCAAGGAATTAATTAAGCTAATTACTCTATAGTAAATCTTACTGAAAAGGTATTGAATATGTGTTCGATCTACTTAATTAGGATAAATTAATTACTCATATACTTATAAAATAGATACTACTAAAGATCAGTTATATATATAGAAATAAATCAATAGGAGCTTCAACAATAGAAGTATATGAGCTGGACCAAGCTAGATTATCGAGTAATAATATATGTAGTAAGCTACATACCAGCTTCTCTGGATTATCCTTAATTCTACCACCTAATATGCTCACTTTATTATTAAGTATTGATTTGGTATTCTCTTAATCATGATACCATTAATTTCAATGTAGGATAAAGTAAAAAATTCAGGGTCACCCACAAGGGTGTTTTAAGGCTTATTAGTCCTAATTAATATTTTCTATATAAATATAAACACATATATATGTTGTGTAATTAATTTTATTTTTTTTGAAAATACAACGAAAATAATGTTATGCTTTATTTTCTCCTTAGGGAAAATACCCAAGTAGCCTTTCAATCTATGCCCGAAATACTAAAGACACATTTATACTATACTAAGGTCCAATTACCCCCTGAACTTATTTTATATGTAATTTTCTACCCCTTTTAGCCTACGTGGCACTAGTTCGAAAAAAAAATCAATCATCGTTGGGCCCACAAGATAGTGCCACTTAAGCTAAAAAGGGGTAAAAAATTATTAATAAAATAAGTTCAGGGGTAATAGGACCCTAGTATAGTATAAGTGTGTCTCTAAGATTTTGAGCATAGGCTGAGGGGTACTTGGACATTATCCCTTCTCCTTATACAATTAGGATTTAAGTTGTGATATAAAAATTATTTCAAAATATTATGACAATCATCAAAAATAAGTAAATTCAACCGCGATTTCATCCTATAGATGTGATTATATTTATTCATTCCTATCTGAATTTATGATGTACGTATTATGTACTTAGTTGGAAATGAAATTTTTACCATAGAAGCGTGTGGTGGTTGGTCTTTGGAAATTGTTCGATAACCAATAAGAAAAGAGGAAGAAGAGAGTTAGATATAAAACTTTTTTAATTTAATAAAAGTTTGGAAGTGGAATTTGCATTATAAAGAGTAGTGTTATGGTCTGGGGTGGCATTTCCACGTTGGATTCCACCAATAAAGTTTAGCTATCGACATATATGATTATATATAGTCGGAATCAAAATTAATTGTAGCACATGTGCAAGTTTAGTTTGGTGATGCAAATTTAGTTTGGTATGATTATATTGTGTGAAGTACGCTTTAAGATCAAATCAATAAGGTCAAAAATAAACGGCTGATCTAAAGTATTTTAATTTTTTGATTTATATCTAAATTATTAGATATGTAAATTTTCTATTTGAACTATCTTATAATATTTGTAGAAAACATTTTAACTATTAGTTGTTCTCTTTTTCTATATGAATGAGGTGTGATTTTTTCAAGTAAATAAAGAGAACAATGGATAGTTGAAACGTGTTTCAATAAATACTGGTGATAGTTTACGTAAAAACTCTCACACCTAATAATTCGTATGCAAAACTAAAAAAAAGTCGATATACTTTATATGTGTTTTTAACCACTGACTCAATAAATAACGCATGAATCGTCTCGTGTACGTTCCTTTTCTTCTTTTGGGCTCCTTCTTGGTTGCTCCCCATTTTTTTTTAATACATGGTAGATGAAAAGTAGGTGGTTATATATGAGGTGTTCTACCACAAACTATATATCCTAATTTGTTAAAAAGAAAATGTAATTCCTTTATCTTAATTTTTGATGGTGAAGCCCAAGTGTCAAAGAATGACGGCCACTTTATTTCTTGTTTCCTTAATTTGAACCAATATATATACCAAACGTTTGAAAAGCTTAGTGATTAATTATTTTATATAGTGTGTGAATATGTTTGCTTAATATATAGTGTGTAAATATGTTTGCTTAAAAAGTTTTGTCCATTCACAAATAGGAATTTGAAACCTCACAATTCTCTTTTTTTTTCTTAATTGACCGCCAGTCCGTGACTTTGGTCGATATGCGACTGTATTAATTTAAGTATTTAACAATTTGTAACTCACATGCATAAAACTTTTGTAAAATGTAAAAAAAATAAATGGGTGTTGGCTCTTTTGGGACAGTTTCGGAGGTTCGTAAAATACGTTCGAAGCTGTCTTTTTTTTTTTTTTGGCCGGTGAAAATCACATACACGTGAGAGCAGAATATTATACTATGCTTATAAAAATTAATAATATTAAAAATAATTTTTAGAG